AAAAAGAAGAAAGAAACTTCTTGGAAAAAGAGTTTCAAATGAAAAGAAGCAAAATAAAAAGAAGAAAAATTGAAAGGAAATTATGAATGAAAAAAACAGAATGTTGTGCAGTATGCCATTTGCTTAAATATTTATGGTTAGCAAATTAGTAACATACGAATATGAAAAGATAGATAACGTACATTAGAGTAATTATAATTGAATGACTTTAATTGTTGACTATCTTCAATATTTAAGTGTTTTTTTTTGTATTTTAAAATTGAAAAATGGTCAAAAAAACCACAAAAAAGATAAATATTTTTCTAGCCCTTAGAGGCATGCCACATCAGCGATTCTAGATTCAGATTTATATATATATATAGATGTGGAATTGTACATTGCTCCTAAAATGATAACCAATGTGTATATCTATTCTGTACATGTCATGTTTACTATGTTGTAACTAGGGGTGTACATATGTCGGTTTGGTTTGGATTTTCATTAAAAAATAGCGATTCTAGATTCAGATTTATATATATATATAGATTCTACCTTAAATAAAATATTTCATCGAACGCTCTTATAAACACTCAATTTTATGATTTATTAAGATTAATACATATAATATAATTAAAGAATGTATTTAGTTCAAGTGACTAGCTACCCTCCATTGAACTAAAGGGTTATTTTGTTGGAAATAACTTATTCCATTAATTTCAGGATAAGTTATCCTACCTTGTATACTCTATCGCATTACTATGAATCAAACCACATAAAGTCGGTTTTTTCGGTTTCGGTTCTTTCGATTTTTCGGTTTTTTACAACTATACGGTATTTGCATATCCACTTTGAATTTTAAAGAGAAGGTTCGAAAATATATTTATTCTGATTCAGAATAAATAATTGTATGACTATCTAATACTCCCTCTATTTCATATTATCTGAATCTTTGAATTGTGGACGTTTGAAATTTTTTTCATATTTGCCCTATCTTTTAATAAAGTTTGATATTTTCTAGGAGATAAATTACCCTACTAACAAAATTATACTATTTATGATTTCACAAACCACAATAGTAAAACGTATGATTTAAAGTATATCATTAAATATTTTTCTTGATAAGTATATTATCTCACAAATTCAATTAATAGAGAATAAGAAAAATACCTTAAATCAAATACAGAATAAAATAATATCTATATTTTATTATAAAATTATTATATATTTTATACTTCACGCGAAAGCACCACTGTATTATTATTGACATATATAGTGATATTAAATTGTGAGAATGTGGATGGAAGAAGAAGTCGCCATAAGGAAATGACACATGGGACATTGTTTACCTTGTAAAATGATTTCATTTTCAGGCACATAATTAATTTCAATGCAACGCTACGCAATTCAATGAATTTAGTGATTTGAGCTTTGGGCCCCACACCAATTCAAATTCCTCTTCAGGCGCATTTCACGTGGCCCCATTACTCCACGTCAGACAAATCAGAATCTTCCTCCAACTCTAAATCTCCACGTCAGCTCAACCCCACATACTCTACAAAAATATCCTGTACGAACCCAAGGAAACATCCCTTCCCGAGCCACACAAGAAAATTAAAAAAAGAGAAACTCTTCGCGTACCTAACACCTGTCACTCTTTTTTACCATTCAATCTCTTCTATACGCTGTCGTTTTTATATCATCTCTACCTCTTTTCCATTAAATTTATACTCCCTTCTTAGCTGAACAATTGGTGTTTTTGACTCAGTTTTCTCTCTCTCCATTTTCTCTGTTTTGCGTTGAAGTTGTTGCTGTGGTTTAATTTGTTTTGTCATTTTGGAAAAATATAGAGAAACTATGAAGAATTGTGAACTTTGTAAGGGATTGGCTAGGATGTATTGTGAATCGGATAACGCTAGTTTGTGTTGGGACTGTGATGCGAAGGTTCACTCCGCGAATTTTTTGGCGGCGAGGCATTCTAGGTCTTTGCTATGTCAGGTGTGTCAATCACCGACGGCTTGGTCGGCTGCCGGTGCGAAGCTGGGGAAGACGGTCTCTGTATGTGAGAAGTGTGTGGATGGGTACTACCATAGGGATGAAGTGGAGGAGAGTGAGAGCGTGAATGATGAAGGGAGTGGTACGGAGGACGAGGAAACTGATTATGAAGAGGATGAAGAAGATGAGGACGAAATTGATTCGGAGGGTATTCAGGTTGTTCCGTGGTCAAATACGACGCCTCCACCGCCGGCTAGTTCATCCAGCAGTGAAAATTCATCAAATGGCTGTAGAAACGTCTCTTCAAAGCGAATGCGTGAAGCTGATCCGGATCTTCATTCAGATGTATGAACTTTTCCTACCTTTTCTTATTCTTGTTTTGATATTTCTCCCTTTTTCATGAGTTTTTGAATACTTAAATCTTTGTTATCGTGGTTATAGGACGACAGCGGAAGTTCGTCATGTCACCGGAAAGTTCATACATCGCCGGCGATGGATGCAGACGCCGGAGACGAGGCAGCAGCTATTGTTGACTCATACTCATCAAAAATGAGAACGCCGGCTAAGATCCAGAGAACAGATCGTCTCACGGCTCCTAGATGCACGTCGGTAATAGAGTTTATCAGGAGAAATAATCGGCAGAGGATGAGCTCCGGTGCGGCGATCGCCGAGCTTTGTAGACTCAATAATGACTCAAGGACCATAGATCTGGAAAGCTCAGAGACATCGTAGCCGTCTGAATGACCATTCGTTTCAATCAACATTACGTGGATTCTACTTTACTTACCCTTTACCCCCAAAATCTTTTAGTCGGTTGATATAATTTAGGATAAGAGTTGTTGAATTTGTTCTAGTACTACTAATCTTCTTAGGGATAGGACCATTTGCTAGTATTTTATTTTACTGTATGATGTACTAATATGTTTAGGATTAATATTAAGATGAGAAATGCCTTAAAAACACATTTGTATCAAATATGCATTACATTCTTTTTGTTATTTCTCTTTCCCTTTTATCTGAATCATAATTTATATTAGTAACAAAAATAATCAAGTATATGCTTGTAGAGGGGAATAAACATTTTAAATCAGCAAGTATAGATATTTTTTATAATCCTGGAGTTTAGGCAGTTTGTGCTGAGTTCTGACTAATTTGTATGAGATATCTGCTGCCATTTACCAGTTCTTGGTGTTGAGTAACAAGTCCACCATAGCTTGAACAATTCTACTAAAATGTTATACTCCCTAACCCTTTCCTTTTTACTCTCTGATTCAAAAAAAAATGTCATCGGATTGTAAGTTTCAGAAGTTTTTTTTAAAAAAAAACATTGTGCAAATCTAACAATGCTACGTAAAATAAAATAAGATGAAAAGAGTAATTTTTTTAAAAAAATTTGAACTACAAGATTAAACGTAGTAGTTATTAGTTCTAGAAATTTTTAATGAAATAAGCAAGAAAGGATTTGAGAGGGACCCTTTAACCAGAAGAAACCCAACATGAGTGGTTTGTTAGAAGTATTGGTTGCGCCACTCCTTTTTAAAACCTCTAATTTAGAAATGGTACAGAAAGCTGCAAGGCCACAACAAGTTTGAGGTCATTTTATTCTCCTTTTATATTATTTAATATTTATATTTTAATAAATTAAGAAAAAAATTGGGGTGGCAAGGAAAAGTAGGAAAGAAGATTACAATATGAAAAATCGAACATTCACCAACAAGATAAAATTCAGATAGTCAACTAATTAAAATTTCTTAACGAACGATGGAAATAATAAATTTGAGAATCCATAATTTTTTCGGCAATAAGAAATTGTATGGAGGGAGTGGTTCAAATTCAACAAGAGTGGATGAATGGCTAAAAACTTTAGCAATTACTCAGTATAGTAATATAGATATTCAATATTGCCTGCGTTTGACAAACACCACATATTTTTATTTAATTTTTTGCTTTTAATATAAAAATAAATCATTCATGACTCGTTTTCAAGAAATTAGTGAACCTAATTTGTTCCTCTTTTTTTGGGGCCCACAGTTGATATATTATAATTGAGGCATCTATTCAGAAGATATTTTCATGCCTCTTTTTTTTTTTTTTATTAATATAGTTTGTAAAATATCTGGAGGTTGATAGTGGCCTTAATTTGAGGATTAATGTCCCTAATTTTGAATTATTAAGCAAACTAGTTGTGGCCGGCAATCACATCAACTTGGACAAAGCTAAAAAATTGGAGAAAGTTACTAATCTTTAAGTATATTTTATACTCCAAAATTTATTTTTATTTATTCCGTATTTGATTTGAAATACTCCTTAAAATTTAAGAAACTGTAATTAAAATGATGAAATTATAATAATATAAGTTATGTTGGAATTAGTTATGCTGAGATTATTTCTAATTGAATATTTGGTTTATTGTATTCAAAATAATATGCATTGCATAAATTTATTATTTCCATCGTTCGTTAAGAAATATATTTAATATGCATTGATACTCGTTATTTTCATCGTTCATTAAGAAATAATATGCATTGCATGAATAAATTGATATTATCTTATTATCTAAAGTATAACGAAGTAGTCATTTATAAAAGCGAGATTAGTAACTAAAAATTAAAGTAATTTATATATGTACACGTTAAAAATCAGTTACTTTAAAACCTCACTAAATTGATACTCGTTTAATTAATAACCCTCTTTAAATAATATTTTCTTCCATTTCCGATTTGGCCAATAGAAAAATCATCAATTCCGATAAGATAATATATTTCCAGAAGACCCTTATATAAATAATTAATATTATAAGCGAATAATTCTTTATAATTACAAATATATCTAAGACAATTTAGTCGAATATGACTCTATTGTGTTCTGATTTTTTTTGTTAAAATTTTAATCTAGTTGAAACGTATCATCTTCAACTTTATCACCAACATTATTTTTTTTGATGGTATCCATAATTTCTTCTAAGTTTTGAACCTCTGAACTGAACATTAATCATTTTCACCCATCCAACATGTTATTAACATCTATTTTACTAAGTTAACTGAGATCATTAATCATGACATCAAGTTCATGAAAGACCTTTCCACAAGTGGGTTCATTTAAAATCTCTGAAATTTCATCTCCAAATGAATTTTGCGATGTCAAAACACTCTTTAAATTAATAAATATTAATTTATCAATTAAATAATAACTATAAAATAATAATATTTCATGGTCTCACTTATATTAATTTAGTGAGATTTATTGTAAGTCATTTTTGTTATCATCTAAAGTACTATAGCCAAGTAGTTTTGTCTTGAATTATCGGCCATGAAAATGTGTATGACCAAAGAATGTGGCGGAGTGGATGAGATCCCTCCTCTCTTAATTAGAGGTTTCGGATCCAGGTCTTGAATATGAAAACATCACTGGTAGAGAGTGGGTCTTACCAACGAGAATTCTAATTGTGGATACCGAACATCGAATGAAAAAGAAAAAAAGAAAAACGTGTGTGAAAGAGGGGTAAGATTGTAAAATTCAAATAAATTATATGGCACTAGAGGGCAATTCTAGTTCATTTTGCACTTGTACATTAACTTGTGGCCTAGCGACTAGCGAGGTGTTGGCTTGTATATAGTTTGAGTTACAAGTTCGATATAAAAAATTGTTTGGATTTATTGGAGACTCATCGGAAAAAAAAGTCAACAATTTATATTTTATAATAAAAAGGAATGAAAAAGGTAAAAAGAATTTGTGCCTTTAAAGTTTAAACAACACAAAGTATACAAGAATAATTACAAAAGACTTTCTAGATTTTTATTTCCGTTTTTTCATCGGTAAACAATAATTTTTCTTTTCTAATTTATACTTCCATGTAAATAGAGAAGTTTGTTATTTAAGATAGCTAATAAATAGGAGATCGTTGAATAGTTTGTTACCTTTTCAACTTTTACTTTCGTGTAAATACTAATTTGTTATTTAAGAGAAACTAATAATTAGGATAGTTGGTTATTGTTATTTTATCTTTTTTCTATATATAGATGTATCCTACATAGGAATAAAGTTACAAACATTCAAAACAATTTTTTTTTAAATATTTTACTATCTTTTATATTCTTATTCAAAAATTACCTTTATATTAGCAAAATTACAAATTATAATTTTAATCACATCGCCCTCGAATTTTATCAGTAGTTTAAGATTGTGGAATAACAGAAGACTATGTACAATCACACATGAATTGTCTTTTGCTAGTCCACAATCTTCTACTACTGATAAAATATCTCGTGTGGTTATAAGGCTCCAATAAATTCAACAAAAATCAACAATAAGTAATCATAGAGATAATAATTTCAGTCTATATTTATAGAATCTGTTCATTTAATGTATTATCTAGTTATATAAACTATAGTAGTTTGAAACAACAAGGTGATTACTTACTCATTTAATTAGATTACTAATAATTCAGGTTTACTAGATAAAGAATATGTTATTTTCTTATTATTGTGTAGATATTTTTATATTTGTCGTGTATTAAACTTAAATATTAAGAAACTATTTTTTTTGTATGTAAATAAAAATTCTTGTGTTGGGTGACTCTTTTGAGAGACGAAGAAGAGTCTCCTGGAGAATAATATGTTTATCTTGTGGTGTAGAATTCATCAAACAAATTCAATGAATATGGGTTCTCATATGCTCCGGATCGGAATTTCTTTTATTCTTAATTAGAAGTTTCAAATTGAATGAGTATGAAATATTTTTTGTTAAAAGCATCCTCCTTAGAGGTGAAGTCAAAATTTTAATCTTATGAGTTCTGAGTTTTTTATAAGACAATTTCAAATATTAATAATTGGATTCTAAAATTAATATTTTTTTTATATTTAATAATACATTGAGCAAAAATTTAAACGGAAATGGACCTAATAATATATAAATTTTAATTTTAATCGATAAATTCTAATAGAAATATCAAACATTGAAAAGAAAAAAATAAGTAAGACCACTTGTGGGATATAATAACATAAGTTGATCATATCAAAAGAACTATATATATATCTTGTGGTGTAGAACTCATAAGACAAATAAAGGAGTTGATTTGAAATGGCATTTGTATTTATCTTTTTATTTTTATTATTTAAAAATAATAATTTGTGGCTATATATATAGTTGAAGCACTGTGGAAGATATTATGAGAAAGAGGTTGCCTTGTAAAATACTCTTTAAATTATGACCATCATTTTTATTTTATTATATTATATATGTGTGATTATTATGATCACTCAAACAAGAATCAAGTTTGGACCTACTCTTCAATTATGACAACTATATTTCTTCTTTCTTTTTGACGTTCTCAATAGGAACACTTGGTTCTAGTATAGTCCTTGTATATTACATATGATGATTAATAATGTCTTTTTAATTTCTACAACTTGTCTATTAAATACTCTTAAACCTCATGTCTGCCCTTTTTTGGATGAGTTTATTTTATGTTTGTTTGGAATAAAATTATAGAATAATTTATTTTGAGATTAGTTATTCTTGGATAGTAGTGTTATTTTGATATCACATTAAAGGTGTAATAATAAATATGAGATAACTAATTTCATAATAATTAGTTTTGAGATAACTTGTTCCCAACCAAATGAGTCTTAGATTCTCATTGTATCTCCTTCGATTGGGCACCATTTCACCAAACATGATTGAGAAGAATTAATCTAAATAACCGTGCAATCCTTCCGTATCTAACTCTATTCAGAAAGTAGCTTATAATATTTTCTTAATCAAAATAGAATAACTTTATCACTCACCTCCCTCCTCTTCGCATACTTTGAACTGGATAATTGGAGTATGAATAATATAATATCAGAATTTGACGGTGGATAAACTAAGAATTAAGGAAGACTCTAGCTTTAATACTATAATACTATGTAAAGAAAATGAAATTTGAATTTAACTTTAACCCTAAAAATTAGCCT